TGTCTCAGAAACATACAGGGATTTCGATGTCTGATGAGAAGTAACTGTCAGTCAAAACTCCTAGTTTCTGGGCAAGCATGTCCTAGAGAGAACGTCAGCAGTTAGATGCTGGTTCAAACACATGGGTGAGACTGCCTGGCTAGACATACTGACTCTCCCTGAGGCTCAGTCAGGAAGATGCTTCCTTTAAAGCTACCCATCTGGAATGTTCTGAGAAAAGAAAGACCTCAAATCCTAAGAAGACATGAGAGGTTTTTTGTTTTGTTTTGTTTTTGTTTTTCTCCCCTCTGTAAAGTGGTGCCTCTTTTTTTTTTTTTAAAGATTTTATTTATTTATTCACGAGAGACAGAGAGAGAGAGAGAGAGAGAGAGAAGCAGAGGGAGAAACAGGCTCCCAAGGAGCAGGGAGCCCGATGTGGAACTCGATCCCAGGACCCTGGGATCATGACCTGAGCCGAAGGCAGACGCTTAACCATCTGAGCCACCCAGGTGCCCTAAAGTGGTGCCTCTTAAACACCTTTTATAGAGTCTGGGATCATTGCCTTTGTGGGAACAATGCAAAAACTTGTGTCGCTTTGCATTTCAGAATGGATGTATTTTTTTCACCAACCCGATAAAGAAACTTGAATTTGAAAGATGGCTATAGAGCATTATCAAGCAGTAATTTTTCCAAATATGTCCTTTATTTAATGTTTTTTAAAAAGTATTATTATCATTAGCAACCCCCTAGGAAACTCTCTTTTGTCCAAACCTCCCCCACTTCTAGTCACTACCCACCCCCAAGGGAAATCCCTGTCCTGTTATCTAACAGTGACGATGAATTTTGTCTCTCTTTGTCCTTTATATAAATAGAACCATACAACAAACACTCGTTTGCATCTGGCTTCTTTCATGTATTGCTGTGTGTGGTTGTAAATTGTGTGTTCTTGTGGCCATACGGTATTCATTGTTTGAATATACCAGTGTATTGATTGATTATTCTGTTGATGGGTATTTGAATAGCTTCCAACTTGAGGCTATTGTGATTCATGCTGCTCTGAACTTTCTAGTCTATGACTTCTGGTGAGCCTAGGTTCACATTTTGTTGGTGCTTTATTTTTAATTGTAGAAATAGTTTACCATCACCCCCTTTGAATCAGAAACTGATTTGTTGCTGTCAGAATTTAAAGGGGGAGCAATCTGAGATTGAGAGCAAAGCTCCAGAGACTGGTGAAGATGATCAGTGTGGTTCTGGAATTCTGCATTGGCAAAGTGACTCTATCCAAATCTCATCCCTTTCCATATGTTCTCTTATTTAACCCTTCCAACAGTAGTCCCATTTCCCCCCCTCCATTTTATTTTCTTTTTTAAAAAAGATTTATTTATTTATTTGAGAGAGAGAGCACACGCGTGAGCTGAGGGTGGGGGCAGAGGGAGAGAATCTCAATCAGACTCCCTACTGAGCGCGGAGTCCAATGCGGGGCTCGATCCCATGGGATCATGACCTGAGCCAAAACTGAGAGTCGGATGCTCAACCAACTGAGCCACGCAGGTGCCCCTTTTTCCTCCATTTTAGAGATGAGAAAACTGAGGCACAGAAAGGCCAAACATCCCACTCAAAGCCACACAGGCAGCAGATAGAGGAGCCAGAATTGAACCCAAGTGGTCTGGCTCCAGAAGCTGAGATCTTTGTCACTCAGCTTTGTCACCTCTGTACCTCATCCTCTTGTCTCTATCAATAGGGTGAGTCCTTCTCCTCCATATTTAAATATGCCTCAGCTTGCCATCTTAAATGCAACCCTCCCATGACTGCACATCTCCTTCTAGCTGTTCCTCCTCTTCTGCCCTTTACCACCTTAGTTCTTAAAGGAGTTGCCTACTCGCCTCCCCTCAATTTCCTCACCTCACTCCAGCCTGACTTCAGCCCCTCCCACTCAACACATGAGATCCTGCTGAGGTCACCAGTGATCTCTCTGTTGCTAAATCCAGTGGTTGTCGTGTTGTTTCTAATATTGTTGATTACTGTCTCCTTGAAACTCTTATCTCTTGACTCAAGTAACTTTCCCAATTTTCATCTTACCTCTTTCAACTCTCCTTAGCCTCTTCTGCTGGTGAATTCTTTTCTATGTGACTTTAAATATTGCAGTGACTCATGCTTCATCAATAGGCTCCTTCTCTTCTAATTCCACATCTTTTCCCTAAATCAGCTTATCTCCACCCAAGGCTCCACATTTACCATCTGCACCCTGAGCATCCCCTGAGTTCTAAACTTGTATATCAGACTGTCCACTCCACCTCTCTGCTCGATGTTCCTAGGCACCTAAATTTAGCTTCTCTGGAATGAACTCATGAGCTCCCTTATCCCCAACCTGCTCCTTCCACATTATCAAGTCTGTGGCACCATTATCTATCCAACTGCAGAGTCATCCTTGACATCTTCCACTTCCTAGCCCCTGAATCCAATCATTCACGAAGTTTCTTCAAAATTTGTCCTAGTTCCTTCTCAAATCTCTCTAGTGTCCCTAATTCTAGACTTAAGTTACCTTTGTCTCTGGTCCGGATTAGTTAACATCCCTTTCTGAAAGATCTGCTTACATTCCTTCTTATTTTTGCATTCTTCAAATTGCAGCCAGAGTGATCATTTAAAAGTGCAAAAATGAAATCTTGCCATTTGCAATGACGTGGATGGAACTAGAGGGAATTATGCTAAGTGAAATAAGTCAATCAGAGAAAGACAATTATCACATGATCTCACTCATATGTGGAATTTAAGAAACAAGGCAGAAGATCATAGGGAAAGAGAGGAAAAAATAAAACAAGATGAAACCAGAGAGGGAGACAAACCGTAAGAGACTCTTAATCATAAGAAACAAACTGAGGGTCGCTGGAGGGGAGGTGGGTTGGAGGGTTGGGGTGGCTGGGTGATGGACATTGGGGAGGGTATGTGTTGTAATGAGCACTGGGTATTATATAAGACTGATGAATCACAGACCTGTACCCCTGAAATAAATAATATATTATATGTTAATTAATTGAATTTAAATTAAAAAAATGAAAATGAAATAATGTTTCTAAAAATAAAATAAAATAAAAGTGCAAATCCAATCCTATCATCCAGCTCCCCAACTTAAAACCCTCAAACAGTGGCTTCTTACTGCTTTTGGGAGAAAGGTCAAACCCTGAACACAAGTTGTAATACCTCCTGTGATCTGGCTTGTGACTCCAGCCTGCTTTCCTTGATGTCTGTACTGCGGCCACAGGCCACAGCGACCACCTTTTTGTCCCTCCCGCTTGCTCAGCTTCCCCCCCCCGCATGGCCCCCTCCACTTCAGCCTGTACCACCACCCCCTCTTCTGACCCTGAACTCATCCTGTAGATGTCCACTCAGATGTCACTTCCCTGAGCCCTTAGACGAGGTCAGGACCCTCTGCTATATCTCAGAGTCTCTGCTACTTCTCCTTCACAGAGCTGTTCATGAATGTAATCACTTCCTTATGTACATAGTTGCTTGGTCAGTGTCCCCTGATGGAATGTGAAGCTCTACAAGGGCAGAAACTATTACTGTGTGGCTGTCTGCCCTGTTTCCAGCACCCCACACAGTCTCTTCTCTCTAACAGGGGCTCAAATCAATGAATGAATTCATGACTTGCCATCTTTAGAATTTTCAACTCCCATCTCTTCTGATTGTTCCTTACTCCTATTTTACCAATATGTTGAGACCCTTCATAAAAATCAGACTAGACTATGTGAATTTGGCCTGTGCGGCTACCATATTACTGGTATCAAAAGGAGGGCGCCTGGGTGGCTCAGATGGTTAAGCGTCTGCCTTCGGCTCAGGTCATGATCCCAGGGTCCTGGGATCGAGTCCCACATCGGGCTCCCGGCTCAGCGGGGAGCCTGCTTCTCCCTCTGACCCTTGCCCCTCTCATGCTGTTTCTCTCTCGCTCTCTAAAAAATAAATAAAATCTTTGGGGCGCCTGGGTGGCTCAGTCGTTGAGCGTCTGCCTTCGGCTCAGGTCATGGTCCCGGGGTCCTGGGATCGAGCCCCGCATCGGGCTCCCTGCTCAGCGGGAAGCCTGCTTCTCCCTCTCCTACTCCCCCTGCTTGTGTTCCCTCTCGCTATGTTTCTCTCTGTCAAATAAATAAAATCTTAAAAAAAAAATAAAAAAAAAAAATAAAAAAATAAAATCTTTAAAAAAAAAAAAAAGGAAATGGTTTGATACATTCAACATCATTAGCCATCATACAAAACAAAACCACCACGAGTCACTACCTCACACGCATTAAGATGGCTGTAGTCAAAAAGACACGTGTTGGGAGGAACGTGGAGAAATTGGAACTCGTATATACTGCTGGTGGGAATGCAAAATGGTGCTGTCACCTTGGAAAACAGTCTGGCGGGTCCTTGATGTGATGAACATGGAGTCACCATATGACCCAACAATTCCACTCCCAGAAATATGCCTAAGAGAACTGAAAACATGTCCACACAAAAGCTTGTACATGAATGTTCATATGAGCCTTATTCATGGAAGTAATCCAAATGTTTATAAACCGGTAAATTGATCATTAAAATGTGGTATATCCGGGGCGCCTGGGTGGCTCGGTTAAGCGTTTGCCTTTGGCTCAGGTCATGATCCCAGGGTCCTGGGATGAAGTTCCACATCAGGTTTCCTGCTCAGCAGGGAGCCTGCTTCTCCCCCTCTCTCTGCCTGCCGCTCCCCCTGCTTGTGTGCTCACTCTCTCTGTCTCTCCCTCTGTCAAATAAATAAAATCTTAAAAAAAATAAAATGTGGTATATCTATACAACGGAATATTATTTGGCAGTAAAAAGAAATGAAGTACTTACCCATCTGTGACATGGCTAAACCTTGAAAATATGCTGAGTGAAAGAAGCCAGTCACAAAGGACCCTGTATTACGTGATTCTGTTGTTAAAGAATATAGAATAGGCAAAATAGGCAAATTCATAGAGACAAAAAGTGTATTAGTGGTTGTCTAGGATCAGTGGGGTTTAGGGAAATGAGTGACTGCTAATGGATATGTGGGTTTTTTTTAGGGGTGATAAAAATGATCTACAATTGACCCTGGTGTCGCACATCTCTATGAACATACTAGAAGCCATTCAGTTGTCCCCTTTAAGTGGGTGAATTGTAAGATAAGTGAATTATATCTCAGTAAAGCTGTTAAGAAAAGATGGTTTACTTTATTTAAATAAAGATTTTATTTATTTGAGAGAGAGCGAGTGAGCATGGTGGGGTGGGAATCAGAGGGAGAAGCAGAGAGGGGAGCCTGATACTGGGCTCGATCCCGGGACTCTGGGATCATGACCTGAGCCGAAGGCAGACGCTTAACCGACTGAGCCACCCAGGTGCCTCAAGATGGTTTACTTTTGAGGGTAGACTGAAAGCACATCATCCAGGCATCATCCATGACAGTGAATGTAACAAGATTATGGAACACAGCCCCTGCCATCTGCTTCTGGCTCTTCATTCCAGTACTCTCTCTGCAGATCATAGGCCCTTTGGCTTTGTTTGCTTTGTTTTGATGTGACATTTTATGTCTATCTCCTCCCTTGAATTGTGAGCTCCGAGCAACTAATAGGTCTCCCCTCTCAGGATTGTTGTGAGCATTAAGTGAGGTAACAAATGCAATGCACTTAATTTCGTGCCTGGCACCCGGTAAGTGTACACTAAATATTACCTCTTATTATTCCGACCAAAAACTAGAACATTTTATACTGTTACAGAAAAAATAGAGCCATGGCTTATATTTTACAGTTTAAGTGGCTATTATCTGTGTACTTTTGCAAGCCCTATCACATATCCACTACATTTATTTTTCCCCTTCTGGGAAGTCAAGGGCCCAGACCTCCCTCCACTTCTTCCTCACACCTTACAACAGGGTGCAATAATACAGATGAACACGAGGGGGCAACATGCAACTGCAATTTAAAAAAAAAAGGCACACTTGAAACTCAGATCAGATCTAAAACATCTAGTATAAAGGAAAGTGGAATATCTTTCTTTAATATAGTGTCTTGTAGTATTGTTCTATAGGAGGGAATCTTAGGAGGGAAATATTACTATATCAGAAGGGTATTGCTGCTAGAAGGCTGACCACAGCATTACTCAAATTCTACCTACATATGGCTGCCAAAAAGAGGCTTATAACCATTTCCTCACATGGGGTACACTCTATATACTATATCTCATGAGAACACTTAGCTTTTCCTGCGAGCTGGTCCCTCTGATGGGAGGCTCTGATGGGAGGAGGAGTCTGGGAGCCTACGTTAGTACAGTGCTGCCTTTCAAAGCACTTTACTGTAGTATCTGATCTTGGGGGTTGGGGGGCGCAGTTGCGCTTCAAATCCTAGGCTCCCCTTAGGTTGCTGATGAGTTTCTGTTGAGGTATATGTGCTCCTACTTGACCGGAGTCCTTCAAGGCCAGGAACCATACCTCACCTTCACCATTGTGTCCCCCCAAATTTGCAGGGCTTGGCATGGCCTAGTGAAGCTGGTTAAATATCTATTAGACTAAACTAGTCCATGAGCTGAGCCTGGAAAAAGAGGGAGATTCTGACCACCTTGTCCACGAGCAATGGGACTCCCCTGGGTAGGACTTTTCTTTAATTATTCTTTCTATAGTACAAAAGCAGTTCATGCTCAGAATGGAAAAAATCAAGCAAAGAGAACGTTTAACATGCTCCTAATCCCATCTACCCAAATCTGGGGAATACCACAGATTCTTTTCACTCTATGTCAGAGCATAATTTATAAACATGTCTCTTGGTGTGTATGTACACACACACACAGTGTTTACATTGATGGCAGCAGGGAACACAATTCCACTGAATGATGGTACTATCTTTAGCTAATCCCCCTCTTTGGGGGACTTACGTTGTTTCTAAATTTTCTTCTCAAGAGCAGTCTAGTGAATATCCTTGTGGCTAAATCTTTCCCCACATTCTTTATTAGTTCCTCAGGATAAATTCCCAGAAGCAGAATTTCTGGGTGATGGGTAATTTACATTGTCACCACCAGTGACGGTGCCCTTGATCAGATGAAAAGTTTTAATTAAACATCACACCAGAACTCTGTAATCTTGTCTGCATGGTGTCATCACCACTCAAAACATTTGGTGAACTCTGTGTTTGGTGATCCAGGCGATGTCTCACACAAGAAAATACATCTTAATCTATCCTCTTGCCTTTGATCTTGGACTGTTCAGGAAAATCCAGTTTAGAAAGGACAAAGAAAGCTACTGTGGAGGAGATTCAGATGAATGTGCCACCAGAGTCTGGAGCTAAGATAGGGAATGCATAGTGTTAGGTGCACCAAAGGCCAGCTCTCATTGTATAGGTCCTAATAGAGTTGTTTAAGAAGTTGAAAAATTAATGTCATGGCGTTTTCCAGGTGCATTCCTCTTGATTCTTCACCAATTTGAAGGGTTTTTTTTTTTTTTCCTTCCCCCTTTCACCTATCATTTCTCTAAACCTTTTTGGAAATTAGAATGGAACTATTTCTTCAGCAGGTAACAATGCTGGTGGGTTGCAACCAGGAATCTCTCGTGACTGGCTTTTTTCTTAAAGGTTCCCAAGCTCCTCTTTCCTTAGATCTTAAAGATGTACACAGAGAGCTCAGTATTTAAAAATATAGGGATTTCCTCATGGGAGGGGGGGAGGCAGCAGCTCCAACTGGGGCTTAGTATTTCGGTCTCCTCGAGGGGCTCAGGCATGGCCATTAATTGATGGGAGTCAGGGTACAGCACTCGGACTGGTTTTCACTAAATTCTAGGTTTATTTGGAGAGGTCTGGGGAGAGGGCAGATTGGCCTAGGAGGGAGGGGACCACAACTGACTCTAGCCACCCCTTGGTGCTGCCATTTATATTCTGCACTGCACAGAAATTCACGGCGGTTCTGGGAAGCCTACCCAGTTAAGCCTTAAGGACTGATTTTCAAGGCCCTCTGCAGTATAACCTTCAGCAGGCCTTTCCAGCCTTAATATCTGTGCCTTCCAGAGACCCGCATGGATGCTTTGCCTCCTTTTGGCCCAGCTGCTGCTCTAGCCACTGCCGTGGCAGACAGCTCTCTGCACCTGCGGCCCAACAGCTCTCACTTTAGTGGCGCCGAGAATCACTCATTTGCTGCCTGGTGTCTCCCCGACCCTGCAGTGTGGACACACTTGCTTCCTGGTTGCCTTCTGGATGTGTGAGGGACCCGCCATGCTGTGGGGCAAACTTCAACCAATGGGGGATGGGACTGAAGGGTGAAGATCCCCCCCCCCCCCGTTCTGTCCATTAGGTGGGCAATTGTGAGGTCCTTCTGTGTGGCTCCTCAGAAGCTTCCAGCAAGATGAGGCCCCGAGGCCCACATGGTGACCAGCTGATCTCACACCCCTGCGCTGGCTTTCCCTCCTTGCCTGTTCCCCTCCTCCCCATCCCTCATCACCATTCCCTGCAGGGAAATAACAGTCACCCTCCTATTTGCTACTTTCTGGTTATGTTCCTGGCTCTTCATCTATTCATTTCTTTAATATCACTTATCTGTCTTTCTTTATCACTTATTTATCTATATCACTTGGGGGCCATCTAGTATGTTCATGTTCTGGGGAGGGGCCCTAAAATATAAAAATGAATCAGACACTAGCCTTGTTCTTGAGGAGCTCATGGTTTAAGAGAGGAGACAGGCAGCTAAAACCTGGCAGTGGGACATGGTGAGTGCTATTCCAAAGAACGAAGAAGTGGGGGCACAGGCGATAGGACAATTGATCCAGTTTGGGGTATCTGGGGAGTTTTCTTAAAGAGAAAGTAATTTGCTGGAAGTAAGTGGAGGAAGACCTTCGGGGCTGAGGGAATGGTTTGGGCAGACAGGAAGTCATGAATGCTTTTTTTTTTAAAAATAAAGATTTCATTTATTTATTAGAGAGTGCGCACAAGTGGGGGAGGGGAACAGGGAGGGGCAGTGGGAGAGGGAGAAGCAGACACCCTGCTGAGCATGGGGCTTGATCCCAGGACCCGGAGATCATGACCTGAGCCAAAGGCAGACGCTTAACCGACTGAGCCACCCAGGCATCCTGAGTCATGAATGCTTTATGTCTAGAACCTGTGGAAAGTTTCGGGAGACTGGAGTGGAGGGCGCATGAGGAATGTACCCAGAGGAATCTATCAGGATCTGGTTGCTTGCTATACCTGGAGAGGTCTGAGAAGGGGCCCGGAGTGGCTTCTTATGTGCGACCAGCCTGGTTTTGTCATTCGGTACTAGGTGACCCTCCCACTCTGGCCATACCCATCGACCAGGGTAGATGTCTACAGGGATGGACTTGGGACAGGCCTGAGGCCTAAGTCTGCTGGGGTGCTCTGAGAAGCTGAGTCTTGCCTCACCTAGCTCGTGGTAATGTGCGAGGGTTATTTGGCATCAGTTTCTTGCTCTCAAGGAGAGCCAGCATGAAGCCAGGGCCTCCCGAGGAGTGGTGAGAAGGTCTATTCTTCCTCCCCCCTGAGAAGCCTGGATCTCTGCCCCAGCGCCAGCTGTGCAGACTCTAGCTTCTGTATGTTCCTGTGTTCTCTGTGTGCAGCAATCCTACAGTGGGGGCTGTTGGTGGCTTTCCACAGGACCCCCATCCCCTTGTGGTAACCACGCAGCTTCTGACCCAGGGCCAGGCCAGTGACTTTCGGAGCGGAACAGACTGACTGGTGACTGACCCAATCAAGCAGACCCTCCACTGAAGGTGTCAGCAGCAGTTGGTGGAGGGTAGAAATTAAAGGACACACAGAGAAGGCCCTGGGCAGAAGCAGTGAGGACAAGAGATGGAAAGCAGAGGTGTGCCTGGGGGGCTCAGTGGATTGAGCACTGCCTCTTGGTTTCGGCTCAAGTAGTGATCTCAGGGTCCTGAGATCGGGCCCTCCATCGGGCTCCACACTGTGGGGGCGGGGGTGGGGGCCCAGATTGAGATCCTCTCCCTCTGCCCCCCCCCCCCCACGCACTTTCTCTCTCTCAGATAAATAAGTAAATAAAATCTTAAAAAAAGCAGAGAGCGGAGAGGAGCAGGGTGCTGGTGACAGGGTGGGCAGAGGCAATGTGGCTGAGTCACAGTGATGCGGCAGTCCTGGGAGCTGTGAGATAGGGAGGGCTCCGCAGAGTGGCCTGGAGGATCTTTCCGTTTCTGCACTCCACCCCAGACTCCGGCGGCCTAAGTGTCTGGCTGGCCCTGTGCTCTCAGGGCCAAAGACAGACACCTACGCTGCTATTCCCTTACACGTCCTGACCCCGAATGGCGTCAGGAGCTGCACTGTCTGGGTTTGGGTGCCGGCCCTGCCGCCTACTGCTGTGTGAACTCGGGCAGTTAATTGCCCTCTCTGTGCCTCAGTTTCCTCCTTTGTGAACTGGGCTAATATGGGTGTCCACCTAGTGGAATTGTTGTGACGACTGCATGAGTTAAAGGATAGAGGATGTAGAGAGAAGCCAGGTGCCCAGGGAGCAGTCTGGGTCTGGGCAGGACCCTCCGTTGGGTAACTGAGGAGAGTGGAATGGACCATGGACAAATGGTGTGGGTGAGGTGCAGGGACAGCAGCAAGGGATGGCGGAGTCCCCTGGGGCTAGCCCCTGCAAGAGCCCTTACCGTTCCTGGCTTGAGGGCGCGAGGAAGGGGCAGTTACCAGACACCCAGTCTCTAGAGAGGGCGGCGGGACAGGAACCGTGGGCTCTGGACAAGCGTGCAGCTGGGCCAGTCAGCCATCCAGGGAAGAAGTGGAGGGGGTACAGACCCCCAAGCCCTCTCCTCCCTCCCTCTCATCTCCTGCCCATGCCACCCAAAGACCAATCCAATTGGAGGCGAGAGCGCAAGGCAGGGAGGTGGGTGCACAATACAGAAGTCCGCCTGCCACGGCCCAGAGGGGGGGCGGGTAGGGTGAAGGGTGGGGAGACAGTGGGGTCTACCTGGCACAAATGCCCACTCACGCGGCTGCTGCCGCCGTCGTGATAATGACAGTAAATGCCTGTCACCTCAGAACTCGACTGATGTCCCTTCCTTGCAAGCCAAACTGCCCAGCACAGAGAAGAGCCAGCAGAGAGCAAAAGGGGGAGACCGGGTCTGGCGGCAGTCAGACGGCACTGTGCTATCGACAGCTGGTCCCCTCCCTAGCTGGTCAAAACTCCGCGGGCGGGGATGGAGGCCATTGGGCACGCGTCCCCCAGGGCTCTGATGGGCCATCGCTGAAGGAACCTGGGAGAAGCATTAGGCCTTTTTATTTAAACCACGAGCAATGTCTCCCACCCTTAAAGCCCAGACAGAGGGATGAAATCTCTTACAACCAATGTTTAACTGTATTTATCTATTAAAGTTTACTTTACCTACTTGAAGAGTACCTTATCCCCCACCTAGGGAAGTTAAAAAGAAAAAAAAAAGATGAAAAAGCAGAACTCATAGAGTGCACTGGGGGGTAGTGGGAGTTTTCTTCTGTCCCGTGGGGGCAGCTGGCTGCCCGAGCAGCCCCGAACAGCCCTGAGCAGCAAGGCGGCTTTGGTCTGGGCGTGCTGAGTCACGGCCAGAGGGCGCCGGCCGCTGTGTCCAGGCCATCACAGAATGACGGAGCAAAACTGCTGTGTGTGTGTGAATATGGACCTTACGCAGCAGCTCGGGGAGCGGAGGTGGAAGGCGGTGCCTGGTGTGGGTCAGTGAGGAGGCCCGGCCCAGCCCAGGCTCCTCCCCGGGGCCCCTCTGTAGTCCGCTGCACCGGTGCCAGGCCCTGGGCTTCCCGCCTCTCACCGACTCAGGTCCCTGTGGTCCAGGCCAGGACATGAAGGCTGTAAGTTCAAAAAGCCAGGGGTCATTAGGAATGCCTGAATAGGAGTCCCGGTGTAGCTCTTCACAGCCTCTGTTCTTCAGCACTGAGTGAGTGTTGCGCAAAGTGTGGTCAACTGCAGGCCGCCATGTGAATTTTTGTCCCTTCTGTGTTTTACCTTTATCATTGACTGAATGTTTTCCTTTTGGAAATTGACCTTTTTTTCCCCTGGTACTTTAAACAGTTTTCATTTGAAAAGGAAACTGGATCACTACCATAAATGGAGAGCGAGACTCACCTACCGTAAATCAGGTAACCATCCCTAGAAATGCAAAGGAGTTTCTGGCCTCCATCCTGGCAGGCTGAATATCAGAGCAGAAGGATTTCAAAATAACTCCATCCCTTTCAGTTGATTGGTTGTCCTGAGAAGCCTCTCTTCCCTCTGTTGGGCCCCTAAGATCTGTAATCACTGATCTGACATTGGATTGGAGCCAGAGCAGTGCTGGTAGCTGGTAAATGCTTAACAACCAGCTCTCCAAAAATAAATGTAAGCACACACACACACACACACTTAGTACACATCTTACTGATAGCAATGACCTGTAGCACACACGTTACAAAGAAAAATGTATAGTACTCTACTGTGAATTCGATATAGCCAATTGATTCCCTGGGAATTTTTTTTTCTTCCCTTTTTTTTAAAAGGATTTATTTATTTATTTATTTACTTACTTTACTTACTTACTTACTTTACTTACTTACAGAGAGAGAGCAAGCACAGAGGGGGAGTGGGAGACAGAGGAAGAAGCAGGCTCCTTGCTGAGCAAGGAGCCCGATGTGGCACTCGATCCCAGGACCCTGGAATCATGAGCCGAACTGAAGGTGGATGCTTAACCGACTGAGCCACCCAGGCATCCCAATATACAGTATTCTTTACTGTAAATTCTGGATAGTCCGTTGATTCCCTCAGAATGTTTTCATTGCTGTTTGCTGAGCTCACCCATCTGTACCAACCTGAGGTTGAAATTGACGAGCAAGTGTAGTTACAGCTTACGTATAGGTTGACACTAGTGAGGTCAGAGGGAAGAAACAAAGACACGTGTCAGAATTTCACTAGTTTATCAGTGTCATCAATGATGTGAGTGACTTCTTTGCTAAATTATGTAATAGTTTTCAAAATACTGGAAAAGTATTTCCTCACTATTTTGTTCTGTTTGCTATGTACCGATTCATAATATGACATACTTTCTTGTTAAAGCTGTACTACTAGCATTTTTTCCCTCACTTTTTATTTTTATTTATTTATTTTAAAAAATTTATTTATTTATTTATTTATTTATTTGAGACAGAGAGAATGAGAGACAGAGAGCATGAGAGGGAGGAGGGTCAGAGGGAGAAGCAGACTCCCTGCCGAGCAGGGAGCCCGATGCGGGACTCGATCCCGGGACTCCAGGATCATGACCTGAGCCGAAGGCAGTCGCTTAACCAACTGAGCCACCCAGGTGCCCCTGTTTTGTTTTTTTTTTTAAGATTTTTATTTATTTATTTGAGATAGAGAGAATGAGAGACAGAGAGCATGAGAGGGAGGAGGGTCAGAGGGAGAAGCAGACTCCCCGCCGAGCAGGGAGCCCGATGCGGGACTCGATCCCGGGACTCCAGGATCATGACCTGAGCCGAAGGCAGTCGCTTAACCAACTGAGCCACCCAGGCACCCTCCCTCACTTTTTAAAGTCTAGACAAAACGAAACAATAAATCAAACCACAATGTGGAGCGTTTGCTGATTTCTGTGGTATAAATACTCCTACCATGACCCATTTCAAGCGAGCTAATGCGCCATCACTGAGCGTGATGCAGAGTTGAGAGGGGAAGCACTACATAGCTCACCCTTTCTAGTATCTCCGCCATACAGATACGATGGACATGAATAACCTCAGCAGCCTAGATAATAGTTAAATGTAGCAAAATAATTGGGAAAGTGGGAGTACTTAATGCTTCTGTTTTTAACATAATTTATTTAATTGTAAATTTATTATAAATTTGATTTTTAATAATAGCTGTGTTTATCAACTGAATCTCCGGATTCCTCAAAAATTCACTCAAAACGTGTGTCAGTACACCAGTGATTGTAACTTTAGTGATTGCATATGCACCCCTCATGGGACCGGTGTCCAGAATAATCTCTGCTCTTCTTAGATGGACGTACTCTACCCAGCTCTACCTCAAAAGAATAGTAGAGGTTGTCTCTCTCCTTATTTCTCTAACTTCATAGTCTGCTTTCCTTCTTACTGACTCTACTCCCCAGATATTCCTCAAACATACTAGGCACGTCCACCCCAGGACCTTGGCACTTGCTATTTTCCTTGCCTAGAGTGTTCTTCCTCTAGAAGTCTGCCGTGATTCACTCCCTCACCTCCTTCAAATCATTGCTCAAATGTCTCATCTCAGTGAAGCCCTTCCTGACCACCCTATTTATAACTGCAACCCTTCCCCTCTGCTATTTCCCCACTGACCTTGCTTTACTTTTATGCCTTCCCTGCTTTATTTTCCTCCATAGCATCAGTTATTTTCTATGTATTACACTGTATAAAATCCTCCTGTATATTTTGTTTATTGCCTGTTATTATCCATGAAAAGGCTAGGTTTTTTTGTATGTTTTGCTGAATCCTCTGTGTCTGAAACAGCGCCTGGCCCAGTGTACGTAGTCAATATATATTTGTTGAATAAATGAATGATTCAATAGTGGATGCCTAGTAAATATGTATTGAATAAACAGATGAATGAATGAATATAGCTTCAAGTCCTGGAGGCACAAAGTCACCAGGGGGAGATGTAAAAAATGTATATATATGTATACATAGGTACATATATGTATATGCATATATACACATACATGTATGTGTATATATGTATGTATATACATATATATCAGCTTTATTGAGATATAATTCATATGCCATACAATTCTCCATTTGAAATATACAATTCAATGGTTTTTAGTGTGTTCAGAGTTGTGCAACCATCACTAAGATCAATTTTACAACATTCTCATCACTCTAAAAAGAACCCCATGCCCATTAGCAGTCACTCTTCACTGGCTCCCTATATCCCCAGCACTAGGCAACCATTCATTTACTTTTTGTTTCTGTAGATTTGCCTATCCTGTACAGTTCATATAAATGGAATCGTATAACATGTGACCTTTTATATCTGGCTCTTTCACTTAGCGTAACATTTTCATGGTCCATCTGTGTTATAGCATGTATTCATGCTTTATTTCTTTATACTGATGAATAATAATCCAGTATATGAATATACCATAGTTTATTCATTCGTCAGTTGATGTACATTTGAGTTTTTCTACTTTTTGCCTGTAATGAATAATGCTGCTATGAACCTTCATATACAAGTTTTTGTGTGGGCATATGTTTTCATTTCTCTTGGATATATACCTAGGAGTAGAACTGCTGTGTCATATGATACTCTATGTTTAACGTTTTGGAGAACTGCCCACCAGCAATGTATGAGATTTCTAATTTCTCCACAGTCTTACCAATGATCATCAGTATCTGTCTTTTTTATTATGCCCTTCTTAGGAGGTGTGCAATGATTCCTCTTGTGACTTTGATTTGCATTTCTTTGATGGCTGATGATGTTGAGCATCTTTTCATGTGCTTATTGGCCATTTGTATATCTTCTTTGGAGAAATGTCTACTTAGATTCTTTGCCAATTTTTAAATTTGGGTTGTCTTTTTGTTGAGTTAGAAGAATTATTTATATATATTAAAAAGAATTATTTATATATTTTGAATACTAGATCATTATTAGATGTAACATTGTAAAAAAAATTTGTGAGCTGTGTTTCACTCTCTTGATGGTATCCTGCGAAGCACATTTTAAACTTTGATGATGTCCAGTTTGATGATGTCCAGAGTTTTATAGTTTTAGCTCTTACATTTAGGTCTCTGATCCATTTTGAGTTAATTTTAACATGTGGTGTGAGGTAGGGATCAAAAGTCATTCTTTGGCATGTAAGTATGCAATCATCCCAGCACCATTTGTTAAAAAAGCTATTATATCCATATTGAATTGTCTTGGCATCATTGTCTAAAAACAGGGGAAGATTTTAAAATCAGATTTGTGTGATCTAATTTGCTTCTCTGTCATTTATTTTGGTGGAAGCATTGAAAATTCTAGTCAAAGTGTATTTGGCATAAAATCCATATAAACTGGTTCAAGAATAAAGGGAATGCTCCTATTGCCTAGATTGTGATGTTTTAAAAAACATTTTAGTTTTAAAAAATTATTATTGAGGTGGGGCACCTGGGTGGCTCAGTTGGTTAAGTGTTTGCCTTCAGTTCAGGACATGATCCTGGAGTCCCAGGATTGAGCCCTGCATCTTCTCCCTCTGTCCCTCTGTCCCTCACCCAGCTTGTGTTCTCACTCTCTCTGTCTCTTTCTCAAATAAATAAAATCTTTAAAAAAATTATTATTGAGGTATAATTGACATATAACACTATATTTTAACTGCAAAGTATAATAATTCAATATTTGTATATATTGCAAAATGATCACCACTATGTCTAGTTAACAACTGTCACCATACGTAGTTACATATAACTATTTTTTCTTATGATGAGAACTTTTAGGATTTATTCTCTTAGTAGCTTTCAAATATGCAATACAGTAGTGTTAACTATAGTCACCATGCTGTACATTGTATTCCCATGACTTGTTTATTTTATAACTGGAAATGCATACCTTTGACCCTTTTCACCCACTTTACCCCCACCTCTGGCAACCACTGATCTTTCCTCTGTATAAATGAGCTTTTTTTTTTTTTTTTTTAAGATTCTACATATAAGTGAGATCATCTAGTACTTGTCTTTCTCTGTATGACTTATTTTATTTAGCATAATGCCTTCAAGTACCATCCATGGTGTTGCAAATGGTAAGATTTTATTCCTTTTTATGGCTGTATAAATATTCCGTTGTATATATATATACACCCCATTTCCTTTATCCATTAATCCATCAATGGACATTTAGGTTGTTTCCACGTCTTAGCTATTGTAAATATAGGCATACCTCATTTTATTGGCTTCATTTTATTGTGTTTTGAAGATACTGCCTTTTTTTACAAATTGAGGGTTTGTGGTAACCCTGCGTTGAGCAACTCTTTTGGTGACATTTTTCCAACAGCATTTGCTCATTCATGTCCCTGTGTTATGTTTGGTAATTCTTGCAATATTTAAAACTTTTTCATTATTATTATATTTGTTATGGTGATCTGTGATCAGTGATTACAACTTGCTGAAAGATCAGATAATGGTTAGCATTTTTTTTAGCAATAAACTTTTTTAATTAAGTTATGTACATTGTCTTTTTTTAAACATAACGCTATTGCATATTTAATAGACTACAGTATAGTGTAAACATTTATATGCACTGGGAGACCAAAAAATTCATTCTTCTCGCTTTAATGTGATACTCACTTCATTGTGGTGGTCTGGAACGGAACCTGCAATATCTCCGGGGTATGCTTGTAATGCTGCAGTGAACGTTAGGCAGTGGTCTTGAATTATTATTTCCCGTTAAAAGAATTGAAGGTTCCTCAGAGACCTAGTTGATTCTAGGTTGAAGGCAGGAAAAGAATGAGATGAGCCTGGAACATTAAAGACTACTATTTAGGTCATATGAAAAGGACCCAGGAATCAAGCTGAATAAGCATTCACTAGGCCAAGATGAAATGGTATGAACATCAATAAGGATAATAACTGCAATAGATTGAAATACATAAAAAATGCTTAAATCCATGATACATAATGGTATTTTAAAAAATGTTACTTCATTGGTTACTTTGGAGGATGCAAAGAAATCATCTCACTGTTTTGTAAACTCATGAAGGAAAATAAGCATTTATCTTACCTTTCCCTTGTAAAATGTACCTTCAAATGAGGCTTCAAATGGTTGAAAAGGGGAAGTTTCTTACTATAGAAGTTTTCCAGCCAATAAAGACTGAGTGATGAATTTGGAATATCATTCTGTAATCCCTAATAAGTGGATGTGGGCTATCAGCAGCTGATAACATAACCAATAGAGATTGATTGATTGATTGATTGATTTTGTCCTTCCTATTATGGAAGGACACAATACCCCCACCACTTATGAAGCAGCCTCATTTAAAAAAGAAAAAGTCAAATCTGACTTCGATCAAGCCTCTTGTCTTGACCACAGATTTAAAAGAAATACAAGGTGCAGAAGATTATATTAAGTGATCGTCTGGAGATGCAATGAAACTACAGGAAAGTGCTATAGGAAATCTGGGTTCTTGAATAAAGAATTTCAGAGAAAGAAAAGAGATGGAGAGAGAATCTATAGATTAAAAGAGATGTAACCATTTCATCAGTAACAATGTAGGATCTCACATGGATTCCCATTCAAACAGAATACATCAACCAGAGAAATAGGAGATCTGACTGGGTATTTGATTATATTAAGGAGTTACTGATTTTAATAGGTGTGATAACAGTATTGTCATATAAAAGTTACAATCTTTAGATACTCTATACTGAAGTACACAGAGAGATGAAATAATATAAATGAAATGATATAAATACCTGGGATTTGATTTTAAAAATCCACACGTGGAGGGTGCCTGGGTGGCTCAGTCGGTTGAACGTCTGACTTGATTTCAGCTCAGATCATGATCTCAGGGTCCTGGGATTGAGTCCTGCATGGGGCTTGGCACTCAGCAGGGAGTGAGTCTGCTCGAAGATTCTCTTTCTCCCTCTGCCCTTCTCCCCACTCTCTCTCTAAAATAAATAAATCTTTAAAAAAATCCACATGTGGATATAGGAGAGGGTATAGATGAAGCAAGATTGGCCCAAGGGTGGATAATTGTTGGAGTTGGTGAAGGTACATCAAATTCATGACATTGTTCTCCCTTCCTTCTTTTGAAAATTGACATAATAAAAGGTTTTAAAAAACATTATAAATCTTGACAATAATAATCATAGAATGAAAATCAGAGAGAGAAAGCATGTGTTACTCGCTGTAACGGTGGTGGGTGGGAGTCAATAAATACAGTCTAAAACTGAGAAAGGGAAAAAAGTAACTAGGGGAGTTCATTGGGAAGGCATAGGGGCTATCTCCCAGATAGCTCAGAACAGGAAAAGGAGTGTTGCTGGGCCTTGTGGGGTGAGGAGTGAGGACTGGGACCTGGAAGGGTGAGCCATGTGGCTGCTCCCTCCACCTCTTGGGGCCCCTTGCTCCCATGTCTCTGCTTCTCTTGCTGGGCTCATCTTGGCACAGCCCCAACTTCCCAGGACTGTGTGGTGCCGTGCCCACCATGGATGGTCTTCCACTCTCTCTCTCTCTCTCTTTCTCTCTCGAGAATCGGGTTGGTTGCTGCTCAGCCAACGAATGGGCTGGCCTTGGGTTAGGTCATATCAACTGAGGCCAGCTTTGTGAGCTTGTGGGTCTGTGAGTTATTGGGCGTTCCCATAGAGTTTTCCAGAAACTAGGCAAATTCTCTAGAGGGAGTAGGTTTAATTGTGGGCAGGGTTAGCCACGACATTTGGCTGGTACAGGGATGGATTAGATAAAGGAGAGACTAGTTAGGAGATCAGACAGGACACTGTTGAACTCAACAAATATTCACTGGACATCTGTGTGCATGACCTTGGGTTAGGTGCTGGGATGTAGGGATAAAGGAAATATGAGAGATGGAAAACCCTGTAAAGGGGATGGTGAGGTGGACAAGGCTGGACTTAGGCACTGACTGCAACTGGGGAGCCATGTGGCTGCTCCTTTCTCTTCGTACATCCTCCCAGCTTCCTCAGCCCTGCAAAATCCTACCCAGCTCTCAAGGCCCATTGCACACACTGCCTCTTCCAAGAAGCATTTCTGATCTCCTTTTGAACTCCATAGCAATTTGCATGTCCCCTGACTGTCATTTGCTTGTAATGACACAGTTTATGTAGTTGCACCTTTTGTGATTGTAATTTGCCTTTTTGTCTTCTGCTTTCAGCCTTGAGCTAAACTGTTTAGAGTCCCTAACCTCGCCACATGTGCAGGCAGGCAGGTCAGTGGGAAGGGCCACAGTCCTGGCCTTGAATCCCATTTTCACCACTTGCAAGCTGTGTGATTTTAAGCAAGTTCCTTAGCCTCTCTAAGCTTGACTTTCTTCATTTGTTAATGAAAATGATAATATTCACCTCAGTGTGTCTACGAGAATTAAATTATATCAAGGATGTAAGGAGCATAGAAGGAAGCACAGAACAATTGATGGGGGTGTATTGAATGAGGAGGACCAAGTTAGGCCTTGAAAGATGAGGAGCATTAGCATAGCTGGACAGATAAGGGAATCCATACCCAGAGGTATGCCCTCCGGCCCCTCGGGGGTGGGAGGGGGAGGGGGGAAGGGTGGGTTGTCTAGGGAGAAGGGTAGCAAGCGTGCCACACTCTGGATGGGACATCTCTTCTTGTCAGCAGAAGCCTCTGTAACTCTAGGACTCAGGTAGCCCCACGCGCTCGTCTGGTGTAATGGAAACTCTGCCTTTGAGCTGCATTGTGCGTCTTATTTGATATCACTGTCCCAGGGTCTGGAGGCAGTAACTGGAGCAGTACTTAGGGCTTGTCTCTCAGGGAACTGGAGATGGACAGTCTTCTCAGCAATGTTCAATAGCCGACCCCTCTGTTCTACTTGAATGTGATATTTTCCTGGGGCGTTTGTGACACCAAATCCTCGAGGCTTTCCCCCACCTTGGCAGCCACTCTTAGAAGTCCCATTTCTGGGCTCTGGTTCTTCATGTGGTAGTTGTGCGATGCAGGCCTGAGTCTCACTCTCCGCTATCCAGATCATCTCGCCCAGTCTTCTCATCCCCTCACACCCCTCACAACTTAAACACCGTCCATGTGATGGTGGCCCCCGAAATGATACCTCCAGCCTGGTCTCCCCTCAGAACTCCAGACCCCAGCAACCGTCTGGGTCTGCCTTCACCCATGAGACTCGCTGGATTCTCTCTTAAACCAGCTCTTTCCCTCGTCTCAGTCATCTCAGCAACTGGAACTCACCTTGTTTCTCAGGGGAGTAACCTAGGAGTGATCACCTTTGGTTCTTCCCTTTTTCTTATTCCTATTAACTACTATTCCACCCCATTTCCCCATCTCCCCCATCCAGTCCTTTAGCACTTTTGCCAACTCTAACTTTAAAACTCAGCCCAAATCTGGGGCGCCTGTGTGGCTCAGTCAGTCTGTCTGACTCTTGGTTTTGGCTCCAGTCATGATCTCAGGGCTGTGGGATTGAGCCCCACATCGGGCTCTGTGCTCAGTGGGGAGTCTGCTTGGAATTGTCTCTCTCCTTCTGCCCCTCCCCACCCCCGTATATGCTCTCTCTCTCTCTCTCTCAAATAAATAAATAAATAAATAAAAATTTTAAAAAATACTAAAACTCAGCCCAAATCTGTCCACTTCTATTTAGCATTCCTCTGCCCATCCTTGTCTAAGCCATAATTATGTCTCACGTGGACTAATGCAATAACATCCCAAATGTGTGCATTCTTGCCCATTGCAACCATTTGTCTTTGCTTAGCAGCTAGAGCCAGTTTTAAAAATCTAAATCAGATCATTTATGCTCCTTGTTAAAATTTTCCAATGGCTTCCCTTTGCACCTGGGAAGAAATCTAAATCCCTAGCTTTGGCCTCACAGGGCAAGGATCTAGCTCCTTACTGACCTGCCTTCAAACCGTCTCCCCTGTGACTACCATCCTCTGGCCACACTGGCTGGTTCTACTGCAGGCCTTCTGTACTTGCTGTTCTCGTCTTGCCTCTGTGCTTCCCTCTAGGTGCTTTTTTCTTGGCCTTCTGTGGCCACTCAGTCTAGTATAGGCACCTGGTCATCTCTAGCACATCACCCCATTTATGTTGTCTGCAGAACACTTCTTACTGTTTTCTTTTTTATTTTGTTATCTATTGTTCGTCCCCCCCACTTGAATGTTCTGTTTTTGTACACTGCTTTATCCCCAAGACCCAGTATAGGGCCTAGCACATACTAGGTGCTGTAGGGTCTGGAATTTGGTTTTACCCAATTTACAAGCTAGTAAGTTAGCCTTTTACTAGTCCCTGGATGCTGGAGGAGACATGAGACTCCAGGGTCAGAAACACAGGACTTTATTAGTCCCAGGACAGCAAGCAGCATAGCATCCGCATGCTTGCCTCAGTTCCTTTGCCCCCAGTTCTCACGGGAGACATGATGTGGGTCAGATGGAGACTGTGCAGTGAGTTTGTGTTGCAGGTGTGGAACGCTGAACTTGGGGAATTCATGTCTTTTATAGTAAGCAGTAAGCAAGCCTGCTCTTCATCCCTGGGGAAGGCATTACTTCATCCCTCAAGGTTGCTTGCTGACAACACAACCCTGAGAAACGGCCCAGGTGAAGAGTAGTCAGGCCTTGTATCCCTGGTATACTGAACAAGGTATGCAGGAGCATGAGAGTCCCATAGAGGAGTGTCTCCTCAAGAGGTATGTCACAAATATTTGTTGAATGAATGAATGAATGAATGAATGAATGAATGATGAATGAAAGAAAGAAACCCAGTCTTTGCCTAGGTACCAGGTATTGATGCCTGCAGGTGGACTCACCTGAGGTCAACACCTGCCTGGATCCCTGCCTATCATTTACTCTTCGATTCCCTTCTACCATTGCTCTTCTCAGCCCTCATGACACCTCAGTCCTACCTCTACTACATGAGGCTGAATGATTGTTGAAATTGGTAGTTACTTCTGTTAATGCCTGAGCCAGATACCATCTGTGCTTGCTGGATGGGGCTTTCCCCCAGTGTTTGTGGCTGGGGTCTGTCTCTTCAAAACCTGCCCTGGCCTACTACCACATTGTACTGCTGTTAAATGGCCTAAGATTGGCCCTGTCTAGCCACATGACCTGAGGAATGTTAGCAATGGTGCTAATAATGGTGTTTTCTGGCACATATTGGATGTGTAAGACCAGAGATGTCTGTTGCAATCCTCCTGCCCCTCAGCCTAGAAAGTACTCCAAGGAATGGCATTCAGTTGACCTTTCCCATAAACCAGAGTCCAGACTTACGGATTTGGAAAGTTCAAACCCAAATCCTGGGTTGACAGAATTTAGTGATGCCGACTGACGAACAGAGCTCTCAGAGAATGAAGAAATATTTGAAAACCAATTAATTTAATTGGCAGAAAGGTTTAATTGTCAAGTAGTTGGAAAATTTATAATAATCTACCCAGAACATTCTCACTCTGTAAGCAAATTACATGGGAAGTTAAATTGTATTTAGAAAGCTGTCTGGCAGGCACAGAATTAGACCAAAACTACTGCACTACTAGGTGATAGGGAGGTTTAATGACATTCTGCTTTGAAAGCCTGATGCGTCTGTCTTTATGTTAGAAACATTCCTATCAGCCTGAGCCTTATTGTTTACCCTAAAGAGTTCTTGGTTCTGAGCCAATCTTTGCCTCTTGGGCTTTTCTTTTTCAATGTTTCTAGGTTGACAAGTCTCCCTTGTTGATCAATACATTCTTTTTTTTCCCCTCTGGATCTTACTTCCAATTATTTTCCATTCATTTACTGCACAACTCATTTGCAAATACATCTATTGTAAAAGATTCAAGCAACATATACATATACAGAGGAAAAAATACGTGGAAGTTCCATCCCTCCCTGTCACATCCTTTTGCCATCCCCCTCTCCTGTCCCGCATTCAACGGGACATCAGGGAAGTAAATGTACTGGTGTACGCAAAGAATTGGACAGGAAGACCTCAATATGGATCAGTGATTAGGGGAGGAGTTTGTTAGTGATTTTTATTTTTTCTTTACATTTTTTGGTATCAAAAAGTATTTTTTTAAGATAATAACTCATAAAAAGATTACTTATTTATTTGACAGAGAGAGAGAGCCCACAAGCAGGGGGAGCAACAGAGGGAGAGGGAGAAGCAGGTTCCCCGCAGAGCCGGGAGCCTGATGTGGGACTTGATCCCCGGACCCTGGGACATGACCTGAGCTGAAGGCAGATGCTTAACTGACTGAGCCACCCAGGTGCCCAATAAAAAAATATTTCTTTAAAAAAGAAGGAAAAAAGAGCATGGCCTTTGGAGTCCTGCAGGTACGAGTATGAATGCTGGCCATAGTCCTTTCTACGTGGCTGTGTACCTGCTGATCTGCCTCCTTGAGCCTCAGTTACCTAATCTGTAAAAAATGAGTGTAACACCCCCTCCCTCCCTTATAGGTTGTTATGAATAAAGTATGTGAAAGCACCTGGCACATGATTGTCACTCACCAAATAAATTTTCTTCCAATGAGAAGAAAAGGCATGTTGCCCTGGGACCCCTCTTCAGATAATTTCTAATTATATATGTGAAAAGTTCCAAAGCCTCAAAATCATGAAGATAGTGCGTATGCATATGTGTAGGTGTGTGCAAGAAGAAAACGAAGGAAGTATAAGAAGAAAACTGTTAGAAAGATGCACAGTTATGTGAATTTACTTAATACCACTGAACTGTACCCTTAAAAATGGTTAACATGGTAATTTTATGGTAAGTATATTTTACCACAAAAAAAGTTTAAAAAAAAAACAACACTGCTAACACAGGAATGAGAACACCTTTCCTTTCCCACACTCTTTGAACCCTGGACTTTCTCAGGTAGAGATGCAAAGCCACATTTTGTGTTTTCTTAGTTTCCGTCACAGTGAAGGCATTTCTCCAGAGGAGCTATTTCCACCTGTGTTAATTTCCTGTTCTAGTAAATATAGATCAACATGCGGTATGGAAAGTGGTTTTTGTTTGTATGTTTGAAAAATGCTAACTAAACGATGAGACATCTTTGACCCCTAGCACCAGCTGGCTGGAACAGACGGGACGAGCGGTGCAGGCTGCGGGTATGGGAGCACATGGAAGAGGAGGCCCCTTTTTACTTCCTTCCCTGTAGACTGCCTTTCAACTGCTTCTTCCCGCGTCTTTTTATCGGAGTCTTTTTTTTTTTTTTTAAGATTTTTTATTTATTTATTCGAGAGAGAGAGAGAGAGAGAGAAAGAACACAAGATGGGGGAGGAGCAGCGGGAGATGGAGAAGCAGACTCACCCCCTGAGCAGGGAGCCTGATGTGGGGCTCGATCCCAGGACCCCGGGATCATGACCTGAGCCAAAGGCAGACGCTTAACCGACTGAGCCCCCCAGGTGCCCCATTTTCAGCAGAGTCTTAACAAAAGTCATATTAGCACATTGGCTGTACACTTGGAGAGGACTCCGGGGGCAGGAATTTCGAGGCTTCAGCACTTAGCTCCTCTGCCAGCCACCTGCTGCCCAAGTGATCTGACAGGCAGTCAGAGTAGTCCCCATTGGTCAGCGTCCTGCTGTGCACACACGTCCTTGCCTCTGTGCCTTGCATGGATGTTTCTCACGGTGACCCTCTAAGGTGGGTGTTAGCTCCATTTTATAAATGTGGAATCTGAGGCCCAGGGAGTCTATTGATTTGCCAAAAGCCTCCCACTGCAAATTAGTGGCAGAATCAGGATCCAAATGTTGATCTGTGTGGTCTCTAAAGTTCACACTCTTTTCCTTATACTTGGTAGGTCACTTTGCTTATTTTAACTGCAGTGTACAACAAGGGAAAAATAAAAATAAGGTGGGTGTTTGGACCAGATCAGTGGTTCTCAACTCTAACTGCATGTTGGACTCTCCTGGGAAGCTCTAAAAAAGCCCACAGAAGCTCAGCCCTACTGCCAGGGATTCTAACTCTGGTCCTCATATACTTTTGTCCTCAGAAGGGTAAGTGGGTTGAGAATCCCCGGTCTTCACCAGTGTGTCTCAAACTCGGAATTGTGTTAAAATGCAGATTCCGATTCAGTAGGTCAGGGGTGTGGCCAGAGATGCTCACATTTCTAACAAGCTCCCAGGTGATGCTGATGCTGCTGGTCCATGGACCACACTTTGAGTACCCAGGGTCTGAATGCTCTTAGCTTACGGTCCCCGTCTAACGTGCTGTGACAGTAGAAAAGCAGTTCTAAAGCACACGTGTTCTGTATCCACCAGCCATTTGCATCTCTATATTCTGTTCATCCCTGTCTGTTACAGAGAAGCAGTATTTCTTTTGGTGGTCAAAGTGTGCGAAACCTAAACAGCAATAACGATGCATCGTGTAATATGGTGAAGGGTCACGGACTCCAGCACCTGGTCATATCCCAGTTCTGTTGCTTACCAGCTGTGAGCTTAGGCAAGTTTCTTCATCTCCCTGAACTTTAATTTCCTCAACTTCAAATTGAGGCTAATAAACCCTTATCCCCATTGGGATATGGGGAGGATTTAATGGGTTAATATGGACAAAGCACTTGGCACACACAGGTGCCCAATAAATGGCAGTTGCTATTATCCTGCTGAACTTTGCAAGCTGATCCAATCTTATAACACAGGTCCCCGTAGGGTCAAAGGAACCCTCCTCTGTGTCCCCTGCAAGGATCATCAAACGCAGAGCAGAGTCTGCCTTTGATATGAATATCAGGTGATACTCTGACATAAGAAATTTTAGGGCACGGACCCTTCAGGCCAGCATTTCTGCCGTTGCCTAGAGAATGACTGAGACAGAGAGACTATTTCCTCCCTTCTCTGGATTGTTTGATTATCTCTCCATATTCGTTCCCTGCCTACCTGAGGCAAATTCCCCAGTTATTTCTGATATAAAAACAGACAGTGTTAACTCTTGAGATGTTTCCTGTAGTGCTGTTAGCAGACTAACGTTGGTAGTGATTGATTTCATCAGATATTCGTGGTGTGCCCAGGTACCCAGGGATACGGGGATGGGCAAAAAATTCAGTCTATATCACCCTGGAGTTTGTTGAGGGGAGGCAGACACTAAGCAAATAAAATAAACAGTGTAACTGTGGAAAGTGCTATGAAGGAGAAGAATAGGGTACCCTGAAAGAAACTATTAAAGAGCTTGTGACACCACCAACTTTCATCTAAAAAGAGCCTCTGATTGGAGCAGGGCAAGAGTGGGGACAAGCTGTGGGGAGCTCTTATAGCTGTCCAGGCCTGGGTGGTGGCAGGGGAGTTGGGGAGAAGTTGGAAGAATACCCTTCATTTGCATTAATTATTATAAAATGTTGGCTTGTAGTTTTAATAGTTTTATAATTTTTCCCTTTTGCTCAATATAGAAGATACCATGTTGTCATCATGACAAATTCTAACTCATGTGTGGCTTTCCCTCTGTAGTTCTCCTTCCTCCCTTCCCCTTCCCCTCCCCTCTCCCATCCTCTCCCCTCCCCCTTCCCCTCCCTTTCCTTCTGTTTCTTTCCCTCTCTCTTTCTCTTCTTTCTTTCTTTTCTTTCTTTCTCTTTTCTTTCTCTCTCTCTCTTTCTTCTGTAAAATAGTGGTGGTGATAGCAGGTGCTGGTATCAATAGGGTCTAACATTTTTCCTTGCCCTATCATTTGGGGACTCCAATACAAATTAAAAGGATTCACAAATACAAAATTCTGAGCTTCAAATTAGTAGCTGAAGCAGGTTTAACAATACAGAGAGTTAGATTTCCTATATCTTTAAGTACTCTTGACTTGCTTTCTTTTGGGCCAGTGAAATTATAATCATACTTCAAGCACAGGCTGCATGAGTCAGGAAAAGTCAAGGCCACAGGCGTCTCAAGACAGAACTACAAAGCAAAAATGGTTTCTGTGCCCAGCCACTGTGCCTACTCTAGACCGTGGGAATCTGAGAGGCAGCTGGAAGGTGAGTCACCAGCTAATGCCGACTGACACATGCTGCATCACAATTATCCCAGAATCACCTCATATAAAACCTGGTTGGCATGATTTGCTCACCTCAACTTTAAATAGCTCAATTGTCTCGCAGAAATTAGTACTATAGTGGAAGCATTTGGAAAACAAACTTTCAAATGTTGCAAGTTAGGAAACGTGGCACCAGAGAGGTCAAGTGACCCACCTAAGGTCACGCTGCTGATACTTGGCAAGACCCCAAAACCTGAAGTTAGGTACAGGCAAAATTTCCTTGGATGGTATTGTAGGGAGGTTGCATGATTCTGCTGCTAAGACAGAGACACTCAGCTATTTGTCTGAATCTGCTGGTAGTTCCAGATCCTACTCGATGGTTAAACCCTCAGTGACTTCGCCTGTGAAATTCGCCATCATGTGCACTGGATGGTTGACTGTGGGCACATCACCCTCTTAGTCCCCTAAATGTTAAGGAATCAGGTAAACCAAGACATACTCTTGCTCACAGAAAGGCTAAGAATGCCTGATCTCAAGGTTAGTTGGTTTAAAAAATTTTTTGCAAGTATAGAATATAGAATAACGCAAATATGAATATAACATACACTCAGGTTCCTGCCACCCAGAATTAACAACTATGAACATTTTCTTTCAAAGAATTTTGAGCATCTTTTTTCTTTAGAATGGCTCAGGCATTGGAAGACACAGGTTAAATCTACCATCTTGCTTGCTCAGCCTGATTTCTATCAAATTAGAATATAGAACCAGGACAGAAAAGGGAAAGAAATAGTTTTTTAAAAACAATATAGTACATAAGTGGACCATGTGATGAGTTTTGACAAATGCCTATCACTGTGTTTTAAATTGCATGTGCAACTGGAACTATATAAAAAGATGTTTTAATTTACATGATCTTTTTTGCTGTTTTCACTTCCTCTTTTTTTTTTTTAAAGATTTTATTTATTTATTTGAGACAGAGAGAATGAGAGACAGAGAGCATGAGAGGGAGGAGGGTCAGAGGGAGAAGCAGACTCCCTGCCGAGCAGGGAGCCCGATGCGGGACTCGATCCCGGGACTCGATCCCGGGACTCCAGGATCATGACCTGAGCCGAAGGCAGTCGCTTAACCAACTGAGCCACCCAGGCGCCCCTTCACTTCCTCTTAAAACAGGGAATAACCTGGGGATTTTTGTTTGTTTTGGGGCAGAAAATGCTTAGTTTTTAAAAAAGCCAGACAGTAAAATTAAGCTTACAGATTTCCAGAGATTAAAGGGAGCTAAATAACTCTGGAAAGTAAAAGTTCAGAGTTTTGTTGCCTCAAACTTTACTTTCATTTGTTGAGTTCTGGAATCATGCATGTTTGAACTAGGAGTGTGAATTCTAGAATCAGTGCTGCCATGAATGCACCATATGGCTGCTGGCCCATCACTTTACTTCCTGGGGCTGAAAAGCTAACACTTTATGCTTTAGGAATAACCTGATTCCACAATCTCCATTTTCATGGGCTTTTGATTAGTTTTCTTTACCTTCAGTACTTTGTCGACCAGTCAGTCCTGATTTTCCCTATCACACAGAACAAGAAGGCTTAGATAGGGATGACAAGCTAGGCTGGTTTATGCCCAAAACACATTGCCTAGGTGCTGTATACATACTGGACAGCCGCATCTGGACCAGCTCTGGCTCTGAGGATCTAAGTCCACCTGCTCCTGGATCCTAGTTTCACCTCTGCAGATCCCCCCTTTGAACTGGCTTGAGTGTGATTTTTCTTGGTAACAAGAGCTATAGTTCTCATTCATTTACCAAACTTGTTATAAGCACCTTCTTTTGCTCAGGGCACAAATTTTCACCTTTATTTGAAGAACAGCCTGGAAGATAAGTTACTTTAGCAATTCCTTAACTGTGTCTGGTATCTTCGCTGCAAACATCTTTGCCACAGACAGCTTTGCCACAAGCAGTTTTGCTGTGTAACTAATTGTCCGTAAGGCAATTTTGCCATAAAAGATCAAATAACTGGTTTCATTTCTCCATTGATAAATCAACTGCTTTTGGCAGAGTTAATGTATTGAAACTAGTTGTCTATTTTGTTTCTCCATTGACAAAGTTCTCATTTCTGTATGCTATAAATCTTAGCTAGCCCTCATAATGGTCTGTACAGGGACAAGTAGATGTGGTGGTCTTGAAATAGTGGATTGTAACAAATAGATCGACTTAACAGAAAGTACAGTGATTAAACTTATGGGAAGTGTGAAATGAGTGTAAAGCCAGATTACAATCTATACCAGAAAATGATAGCCCATCATGCACAATGATAACAAAGCTCAGTTACAGCGCATTATACCTTTGGCATTTCTTGCACATTGCCCATACAACTTTGGAAGGTCTAGCAATGAACATATGACAGGATGCCAAGAACAAACAACAGCGTAGATGCTTTTGCAACATGATACAAAGCTTACAAGTATGTACCATAGTACTGGGAAGCTGCTACCTTTCTTTCTTTCTTTTTTTTTTTTTTAAAGATTTTATTTATTTATTCATGAGAGACAGAGAGAGAGAGAGAGGCAGAGGGAGAAGCAGGCTCCCAAGGAGCAGAGAGCCCGATGCAGGACTCGATCCCAGGACCCTGGGAGCATGACCTGAGCCGGAGACAGACGCTTAACCATCTGAGCCACACAGGCGCCCACGCTGCTACCTTTCTTAATGAAGGAAGAAATTTTAGCAAAAAAGTAAAAAGTGTGATGCTGAACAAGGAGACTAATCAACAAGCAAAAAAAAGTGTAATACTATGAATGAAAGACTTGAAGACCAGTGATTAGGTATAATCCACCAACTAAAATCAGTTATTTGTGCAGTATCACATTTTACACACGTTTTAAATGTATTCAAATATTTTGTATTCTGGAGCACCTCGGTGGCTCAAGTCAGTTAAGCGTCTGACTCTTGATTTTGGCTCGGGTCATGATCATAGGGTCGTGAGATAGAGCTCCGTGTTGGGCTCCATGCTGGGCATGGAGCCTGCTGAAGATTCTCTCTCCCTTTCCCTCTCCTTTGGCCTCTCCCTCCTCCCACCCCGCTCCCACACTCTCTCTCTAAAAAAATATTTTGTATTCCACAATAATCTTTTTGTTTTGTTATTTTTCATGTTTCATTATGCCCTTTTTTTTTTAAAGCTTTTATTTATTTGACAGAGGGAGACACAGCGAGAGAGGGAACACAAGCAGGGGAGTGGGAGAGGGAGAAGCAGGCTCCCTGTGGAGCAAGGAGCCCAATAATGCAGGGCTTGATCCCAGGACCCTGGGACCATGACCTGAGCCGAAGGCAGACGCTTAACCATCTGAGCCACCCAGGCGCCCTTCATTATGTCCTTTTTAATGAATCTCCCACTTTTATTTTTTGTGGTTTTTGTCTTTCATGGCAAAATTGCCTTATGGCCAATTAGTTAGGCAGTGAAAATGTTTGTGGCAATAACACTCGTGGCAGAAATGTCTGTGGCCGAGCTGTGTACAGTGAAACTTTCTAGAACCTTTTCTAGAACCTATCCTGGACAAAAACTCAACACTGCATCTCACCTAAAAGACGAAAACAACTTTAAAGCCATCCCTTCCATTGGGTGCTATGCTAATGTCATTGGGCCGCTCAGTTAAGCAGTCTTCCATCCGCACCAGGCATATGGGGCTAATGTTCGGAATTCCTCTGACAGTTCAGGATTGGGACTGAGAGAGTGGGTCACCCTGGCTCAAACCTGGGACACTCTGGACGTCAGCTTTAGCCAAGGCTCTTCCTTCTGATTCTGTAACACAGGAGAAATACTCTTCTTCCACAAGTGCTGGCACTTGAAAGAACATCTCCAAGGAAGAGACCAGTAACACCGAGGACTGTGCATGGTGCAGGGAAGTGAGTTTGGACCCCAGTTCTAAGACAGACCCGTGTCAGGACCTGGGACAAATGACTATTTCTTCATGTGGAAATAGTGATAGCTGCAAGCCCAAGGTAGTGGTGAGGTTTCACGTACCTGTACACAGTAAGCACCCAATACATAAACATTATACAACTGGGAAAAAGCAGCATGATATTCATTTTTGGAAAGTATTTATTAAAAAACTAAAGTGAATGTGGCAAAAAACAACAACAATCCAACACATACCTTTAAATAGCAAGCATATGACACCGGTTATAAAGCTTTTCCAACTCTACTGATCTAGTCTTTCCCACCATCTACAGTCAAGGATGGCCTCTGAGGGAAGCCACATGTAAACAGGTCATCTGTACTAGTGATGAGCAAAAACTATGTGGTAACTATCAGTGGCCATATGATTTGCTTTCCTAGGCAATTCACCCCAAACACAAGAGAGTGACCAAATCTCAGGAGTGTGTTCATGGGGATCTGCAGTTCTGGTTTTAATTTGGGAATGGTAGGTGGTGGGGGCATGAAATAGTAGAAAGACAAACAGTATCAGTAGAGGGCAATCGTAAAGCACCTTTAAAATCTGGACCCTTTCCACAATTTAATCCAGCAATTCTCAAACTTTATTGTCGAACAGAATCACCTGACGAGATTGTTAAATTCACAGGCTCCCCAGATCTGGATGTTTCAGATGAGAACTACAGGTGATTCTGTCTATTGGCTAGCCATCCAGTTTGAGAACACTGTTTAAAATGCATTAAAACAATTCCTACTCCCCTAAAAAGGTAAAAGTTAAGGAATCTATCGACAGTCACTGTGCTTTTGTCCACTTGGAGGAACCAAGAGAGGGAGTCAGGCAGGAAGGAGCCTCCATTCCTAACGTACTGGTCTACAGGAGCCCTGAGCAACCTGTCAAGTGCTGTTCAGGAAGTAAATAAAATTTAATAACAAAGTTGATTTTAGATCACAGAACAGACTCCAAATGACTAGCAGGCCAACCGCATTCATCCCTGTTTAACGAACTCTGTTGGGCCAATGCCAGATGGGAAGCTGCTTGTTCAAACAGAACATGGGGTTAACTGTGGGTCTTGATCCGTGAAGACACAGCGAATAGAACATCTGTAAAAACCTTTATTCCCCATAGAGCCCTGGGCCCAGATAACTGCGGCGCCTCATGGACAACACGTAGAAATGGTCACATTGATTCCAAGGTTGCCATTATCCGCAAACAGATGCGCTATGGCTGTGTCAAACACAAGGCAGTCGCTGTTCATGATGGCCGCCGCCACGCCGTCGTGGATGGACCGGGGCGTGGCCTCCCAGGTCAGTCTCCGCCGGTTCCCGTTCAGCTCCAGTCTGTAGGCAAAGTTCTCGGCTTGCTTGCGGGTGCCGATGAGCAGCACGATGGCGAAGAACTGCTGGTGGCCCTCGTACTTCTCTTGCTTCTCCAGCACCAGCATGAAATGGTGGCCGAAGCACGACTGCATCATCACCCAGTCGACGGCCCCCGGCAGGTTAATGTCCGTGGCTAGGAAGACGATGTCTTCTCCCTGCAGGGTGGTGATGCTTTTGTGGGCGTGCATGAGATGGGACATCACGGCTTCCAAGGACCCCTGCCACTTGCAGGAGGCCCCGGGGCAAGGGCAGGAGTAGGGGCGGTATTCACAGATGTCTTCGTGCTCTGGCTTCTCCGTGTGGTGCAGGGTCAGGGAGCAGCCCGTGGTGGCGTACTGCAAGAGCGGAAAGAAACGCGTGAGCCGCCGCGCCTGCGCACAGCTCCGCCGAGAGGGCTCACCCACGTGCGCTGCCGGCCTGGAACTCTAGGCTCGTTCCGACTACGCTCGCTCCAGGGGAGCGCCGGAGTTACGACCAACAAGCCTCCGTTCGTACGGGTCATCGGTCCCGCCGGCCAGAAAATCGGGGGAGTTTCCTCCCCCAGGAACGGACGGCATGCCGTTCCAACATCGCCGAAAACGTACCAGTGACTGCTGAGCCAGCCCTAGAAAACCTGGCCTGCCCCATGTTTTCTGTGAATTTAAAGAATTTTGTAAAATTTAAAATGGCTTAGGCATAGGGTTGGGCAAGGGATATGTGGCCTCCAGACTGGTTTTCCCCTAAAGACAATTAGGAAAGCGGTAGAGCCCCTCTTGGTTGTCCCCTGCGCCTTCTTCCTGGCTCAAATCAGTGACTGGCAGGAAGGCTGTGGGACGGTCCCCGCTCTTGCCGGCCGGAGTGACCAGCCAGGGCAGGAGAGGGCTGGACCCCCCTCACATCGCTAGAAATATTACCTCATTTTCTCCACCTTTTAACCCCCCAACCCCAAGGGGCTTTGGACATACTTTTTGGGTACTAACTCAGGACCCTGTTGGCTAGTTTGGTTCCAACCAGTGGAGGTTAAAAATGAGAAGGGTCCAGACCGCTTCCTCAAGTCCCAGCGCCCATCTTCATGACCACATAGGTCAGGCCCTCATGCCAGGCCCCGGAGGCAGGGGAACTAAAGTGGTCCCAGGGTAGGCTCCCAGGCGAGGATTGGGATATGGCCAGTCCCCAATGCTGCCATAATAGGGTAGGGACAAAACCTTTTTCTCCCCTGCACTTGGGATCACATTTCTGATGAATAAATCGCACCTATCTTGGGAAAAGACCACACCAAAAGGAATTAGACTCCTGCTCCCAACCTTCACAAGAATGACAGTGTTAATTCCTAGATACCAGATGGGGAATCAGCCCACAAGTAGACACTTGCCCAGAGAACTGCGCTGTTGTCTTGTAAAGAATAAGGAGAGCTGAATCACCTTTTTGGGTGAAACTAGGGAGCCGGAGCACTGGCAGGTAAACTGTCTGGGTTACCTCACTTGGATTCTCCCACCCCTTCCCGAGACAGGAAGACAGCAAATGAGGGCAGGGCCAGGTCCTATGCCTACGATGCGGTGTCCATCTGCTCACAAAACAAAGCCTCTATATCCTGCGGAAGGAATAAACCCCTTATAAACTTTAAGTCAGTCGAATTCTAACCTTTGTAGATGAATTTATCACTCGCAACAAGCAGACACCGAGCACCTTCTCCATACAGGACCCTAAGCTACAGTCACTGGGGGGGCCAGCTCCACTCTTAGGGAGATGAATCTCCCCAGCAAGGAAGGAGGGGTTGGCTTCAAGAAAGAAATGCAGCTGGCTCCTCCCCGATACCTAAAGTGGATTATAACAACCTTCGGTGGAAACTGGTAGAAGTATTTCCCTGCTATTTACTTTGCCCATAGGGAGCGCTTATTCGCCTTTCTGAACCATGGACTAATTTTAAAAGCACGGGGTATAAAAAACTTTATCATCAGAAGGAGAAACAAACTTTAATTTATCCATATATATTTCTACTTGGTGTTTCTAACAGTAAAGCCTTCAAACACCCAAATCCCTATTAACTCTGTTTTAAATCTAGAGTGTGGTTAGGAATACAGAACCTTCTGATGTTCTTCTGTGAGTGAGGGGTGAGGCATTTATGCCCACTTTAAACGCACACATTACACACAATAAAAATAGCAAGAATTAGCCCAAAGCCTGGAACATTCTCTGGCCGAAACAAGCCCCTAATCTCTGGATCTGAAGAAGTTTCAGAATGGGCTGTTTACCACAGCTGCCCAGGAACAGCTCCAGGAACGCGATGAACTTTGGCAAAGAGCGTCCAGAAAAGTACCACCTGCACCTCTTCCCTGACCCAAAGCCCCAAACGACTCCACGTTCACGGACTCAGATGTACGACAAATATTTATCGTCCAGCGATTATTTTAGAACTTTTTCTCGTGTAGCTCAGGTAGAATATTTATTTATACTCGGGATTATGTGGTTTGCCCTACAAGCCAGACACTCTTCCTTCGACCCAAATATAGAGAACAGGGAACCTCCCCCAAGCGACACAAATAGAAAAGGCATTACTGAGCATTTGTGTGGACAATGACCTTACAAAAAAGTGTCTTGCTACAGCCTCTATTAACTTAAATAAATAAATAAATATATTTTAAAGACTATTTATTTGACAGACACAGCGGGAGAGGGAACACAAGCAGGGGGAATGGGAGAGGGAGAAGCAGGCCTCCTGTGGAGCAGGGAGCCCGACGTGGGGCTCAATCCCAGGACCCTGGGATCATGACCCGAGCCGAAGGCAGATGCTTAACAACTGAGCCACCCAGGCGCCCCTTAAATAAATACATTTTTAAAGTATGAGGTGCTTACTCTGCTTTTTCTAAACAAGCTGAACTTTTTTTTTTTTTTTTTAAAGATTTTATTTATTTATTTGACAGAGAGAGACACAGCAAGAGAGGGAACACAAGCAGGGGGAGTGGGAGAGAGAGAGAAGCAGGCCTCCCACGGAGCAGAGAGCCCGATGTGGGGCTCGATCCCAGGAACCTGGGATCATGACCTGAGCCGAAGGCAGATGCTTAACGACTGAGCCACCCAGGTGCCCCTAAACAAGCTGAACTTTAAAGCCAATCTATTCCTTCTCTTTTCCATCATAGGTGAGGGCATGTCTTCATGACCACTGGTGCTACTTTTATGATGACTATGTAAGAGATGATCTCTAAAAAGAAAAATCTACACTTTAAATAGGCGTGCACTGATGCACACACAGACACACGCACTCTTACGCCACACTTCAGCCTTGTTACCGTCTCGGCATTGTTCTAGAATAGGGGCTTTCATCCAGGGATCGGAGGGAGGGTTCAGGGTCTATGGATTCCCTGACATTGCAGAACTATCTAGGTGCCTCTGAGCAGCACACCCAAATTACCCTGGCCCCTAGCTTGCGTTTTCCCGACAGGCGCCAAGGGTTCCTAAGAACTGCCAACCTCTGTCCTAGAGCACCCAGAGGGAATCCACTGCAGACCCTTGTGGTGGTTCCTGTCGAGAGGGGCCACACCAAGCAACAAACAACTCACAAATATCAAAAGTACAGAGAGCTACGCGAAGTATGACCAGAGGGGTGACAGGTGATTTCAAAGTGGGGATGGGATGAGGAGGAGAGACGGAAAGTTTCACTGTGGGCAAAGTAGATGATGGATGGAGCAGTTCCATCTGGTTCTAGCATGGGGTGAGCGGAGCAAACAGTGGGGGATACAACCTAAATGAGAACGCAGGTCCAGATTCCTTCGGGGACTTGACTGACAATTTAGTTTATTTTCCGGGATTCTCTACGGTAGCACTACAGGTTTTCCCCGATATCTGAAAGTACAGTGTTCCCATGAAACCCTTCGGAAGACAAATGGCAGAAGGCAAAGAAGCAATTACCATTAACTTATATGGAAAAATTTTCGAGCATTCCTAGTTCCAAAAAATAACCTCTCTTGGGCTTTTCTGATACCTTAGGACACATCTTGCTAACGGATGCACAAAATCAATTGAGATAAAGCACAGATGCTCACAGATGCAGTTCAAAGCTATGGAGTCTTGATGCTGAGATGCTGAGTGTAGGTCCCAGGAAAGGAGCTTGGGGAGGCCACTCCTGCTGCTCAGGATGCACACTGCAAGAGAAATGCTGAATGCTATTTTCCCTTTCTGCCTTTTTTTTTTTTTTTTTTTGGTAATACTGAAAATCCTCTTCGGATTTCTTTTGGTTAGCACAAACAGGTCTTTTATAAAAGCAAAGTAACGTCAAGTGAACATTCAAAAAGTGGTGGAATAGCTGTACTGATGTTTTAGACCAGATAATCCTTTGTGGTGGGGGCTGTGCGGTGTATTGTAGGCAGATTAGCGGCATCCTTGGTCTCTACCCACTGGATGCCAGTAGCAATCTTCCCCTCCCCCACCGTGACAACCAGAAATGTCACAGGCATGGCCAAATGTCTGGGGAAGGGCAAAACGGCCTGGGGTTGATTTTGACGGATGACAAAACCTGCCTGGGCAGCCACAATGACAGCTGTGAGGAGGGGCCCACACCAGTAAGCAGGTCAGGCTGGTCACTGCCCTGCCCAACAGGCGCTACCGAGGACACCAGCTGCCAGCTGAGACACACAACTAGAACTCGGTGGTTTGCAAACCATGGAGGTAGGCTAGGCTGCTAGTTCTACCCGTTTTACAGCCTGACTGACTCATCCGGGCTACTGGGCTACTCGGCCATTTGAGGCCACACTACAGGCAGAGCCCTGCACTCCCTTGCTCTTCATCGAGTGCTCTTTCATGGTACACAATCGCTTGGGAGTCAAGGAACATTTTGAAGTAAAAGAAAGAATTCACATCTGCCTGGACCTCCAGTCCCCAACCCTCCACACACAAGACCCAGGGTCCACGGATGGACTGCTTCTAGAAGCAGGTCCTAATACTGACTTCTTCCCTGGATTGCAGGGAGAAAGACAGCCCTGAAAGCGCCTCTCCCTAAGGAATGAGGAGCAGCGCCTTGCCAGTAAGTACCCAGTAATTAGGCCCTCCCGACTTCGCTGGTACCTGGCAAGAAGGTTCTGAGGTTTCACTTTGCACACTCTGCCTAGGGCTTTGCCCCACCAAACAGGGAGGGTTCAGAGGATGCCTGCTTCCCTTGAGATGCCTGGCTCTTCCTGCACACACCTGGGCTGCCTGTGTGCCCCCGGCACACGTCCACAGCTATAAATGAGCTTTCTCCACTGGGGAACAGCTGCGCATGTCCCCTGGGGGTGGGGTGAGGAGGAAATTCACTTTAAGTCAACCTCTTTCGGGGGAGGGGGACAGAGACACAACCACGCACAGAAGCCCAAAGCTCAAGAAG